CCCTCCTCGGTGTAGAACTTGAGGGCAAAGCCGCGCGGGTCACGAGCAGTATCAGCGCTGCCCTTCTCGCCACCGACGGTGGAGAAGCGCAGGAAAGTTGGAGTGCGCTTGCCAACCTTGTTGAGGAACTTGGCCTTGGTCAGGTGAGTAATGTCATGAGTAACCTCAAAGTAGCCGTGAGCACCAGCACCCTTGGCGTGCACAACGCGCTCTGGAATGCGCTCGCGGTCAAAGTGGGCGAGCTTGTCAATCAGGTGGAAGTCCTGAATAAGGATTGGACCGTGAGTGCCGGCGGTGATTGAGGTCTGGTTGTTCTCGACCGGGTTGCCGTTAGCAGTGGTAAGGCTCATCTCTGTCTTTGAAGAAGAAGAACTAACAAGTTGGTATTATGAAGAGGGTCTTGTGAAAAAGGGATAAAGGTTTGTATGTCTAGAGAAGAAGAAGAGAAGAGATGTTTGTTTGGTCGCGGTGGGGTCGTGAAGATGCACAAAAGGGCTCATAAAATGTCAACCTCGTCGGCGCTCGTATAGAAAAATTCTGCTAATTTCACGTGATGAAGTGAAGTGACGTCGCCGTCGCCCTAAATATCACCTCCGAAGCTGAACAAGAAGAGGTTAATTTTTCAGAGTATTAAAGAAAAAAAACAATGCGCCAATTGGATCATGACTAGTTTAGCTATTATTACTATTATTGCTGTTGCTGTTGTTGATGCTGATATTCAGCGCGCTCGGCGTACAGAGCCTCTGCCCATGCCTTGATCTGAGGATGCCGGAACTTGCCTTTGGTCGATTCAAAGAACTCGCTCAAGTCCTTCCCATCCGACTTTTCGTACTCCATTGCCTGAACAATCATCTCGAACTTGTCGATATCCTTAACCAGCTTCGCCTCTCCAGTAGCACCTTCTTCGTACTCATTCCACAGCTCTCTAATCTCTTCCACCACTGCAATCATCTCTCCATCACCTTCTCGCCTGCTGTTGTTTGAAGTCGTGGTTGTCACGTCCTCATTCGAGTACAACTGGGAACAAAGCTGGTTGATGGCGTGTCTTTCCATCGCGTGCTTGTCTTCGTTCGATACTCCGCAGTGCGGTGTAATGTCTCCAACAATCGACTCGGCAATGTCGTGAACAATCGCCATTTTAATGCAGCGGCTGCGGTCCAGCTCTGGATCATCGACAAGCATCGCCATCACTCCCATACGGTGCATGTGATCAGAGATGGACTCTGGAGCTGCAACTTCGCGCTTGATCCAGCCAGTGCGCGGCGTGCGCTTGAGCTTTTCGATCAGGTGCAGGAACTTGATCACGCCAGCTGGCGATGCTACTCGTGCTGACATTCGTTTATTGTGAACAAAATAACAAAATAAATAAATACGAGTAGACAGTTAAGGAACTTAGCAACACCAAAGTCGCGCAATGTAAACCTATTTTTAGGCACACTTGGGCTCGATTTGGGCTGATCACCTAATCAAGTTCCTAATATAATGATTGATATTAGACAACGTGTGTCGCTGCTCATTCGATGAAGACACCGAAGCTTCCACCCCGATCGCCAGATGCGAGATAGGCATCAGTGTGAAACTCGGAGTTGCACAACGCCGAGCACTGGATAAATACCTGGCAAGATGTCGATTCGCATTGTCCTTTTCTATTCAAACCTGCCTCCATCATCAGCACCACCACCATCACCATCACCATCTCATCTCACACCTATGAAGGTCTTTACTGCTACTGCAGCCGTTGCTGCCGCTCTTGCCGCATGCGCTGTGTTCGCTCCATCCGTTTCTGCTGATAACCACAGTGGTTTCGCTCCGATTCCGGCCAAGACCACTCTGATCCAGTACAGCGGTCAATACGAGGACATGCTCTTCCCCTTCGGCTCCTGCCAGAACATCAAGTTCACTGGCGATGTCATTGCTGCCGAGAAGAAGCTCCAGGTTAGCTGCTACAAGAACTCTGTTGAAAAGGGCTCGGTCAACTGCATCGTTCAGGGTCTTGGCAAGCCAACTTGCGATGTGGTGTCTACTCGTTGCACCAAGACTTACAAGGGCAAGTGGGTTCCATCCCCAGATGGTACCTGGTGCAAGCCTGTTTAAAATAAACAACAAATTGACTGGTTTAATCATACTTACTATTGGTTATCAGCAACGATCACGTTTGGCGAGAGCGAGAAGAGCCGGATTGTCCTTACCACAAATTCCGGGCATAGTTGGATCGACTACCCAGTGACCGTTGTAATCGTCCTTGCAACGCTTCTGCATTAAACTGCAGTCTGGGTTGCCAATGTCTTTTTTGACGCGACAGCGCACAGTTGCCGGCTCAGTGTCAAGAGACTCACAGTCGAACTGGCCAGCTTTTGTCTCGGCAGCGACGATATCATCTGATTGAGCCGTAGCGTCGTTGCAGTTGCCATACGGGATAGGCACGCAACCGCGTGTCACCCACTGCAATACAATCAAAGCGGGTAAACTAACGATTTAAAGGAGTATAAAAATAGTACAGGTTTAAGAGAATGAAGAAGTGGCGGCAGCACTTGGTGATGCCATTTGTGGCGACATTAAATTTGGAGCCTGGTTGCGCATAACACCCATTTGGTATGCGTAGTATGGATGGATGCCAGGCAGCTGTTCCTGGTTCTGGCTTTGCCGCAGAACAGGTTCGACAATCTTCTGTTGCAATGGGGGCATATCTGGGAGTCCAAATCGAGTGCGATGGACAGGCACTCGCG